GGTCGGACCACACCATCGCGACAATAATAATAATTATTAAAAACTGCCGGATCTCCGCTGGAGACTCCGAGGCACAGTGGAGTAGTCATCACGATAAAAAATCTAAAGAAACAAAATAAATAGCGTAACGGTCGTCGGCGGCGTCACAAGGCCTCGCCATGTGCGGAGTATAACGGTCTTGGCATACGGTATGTATTGTGCATTCGTTATTTTCTTTTCTTTTCTACCACGTCAAATTCTGACGCCACGACTCTCTACCTCCTCCGTTCCAACGCGTCGTTTGTTATTAATTTAACAAATCAGCTTCAAATAAGGGTTGTGGCACCCTGTAGAGTAAAAAAAAAAATAATAAAAAAGGAATATTCCGAGCAGCCAGAGCAGCACGGCTGCTCTGGAGAGCAGCTCCGCTCATCAAAGAAGGCGCTGTCCGAAACTCCAACGGCTCCCTTCTTATTTTTCTTTTTATTCACTTTGTTACTTCATTTTGTTGTTGGGTTCGACTGCTCCCTTCTCTGTGACGATGCCGTCTGTGGACATACGTTTGGCCTTTGTTTTGTCACGCGATGGTGTGGTCCGACCGATCAACCAATGAGTTTGTTAGAATTGTGTCACGAGGTATAAAATGGTGGATGAAATAAAAATAATAAATGCAAAGAAGCGCGCAGTTCCCCCTCGGCGCTTTATCCTTCCAGAGGCGAGCATCGCAGTGCCATGGCGTTCAACGTGTGCCGTCTTCATGGCGCCGTGAAAGACCCTCTTGAAGCAATTAATCTGCTTCAGCGCGTTGGCCTGCTCCTGGCTCCTGGGTTTTCGTGCGTGTCCGGAGTGCGAAGCTCCGATGACAAGCTGCAAGTCCGCGCTAGATCTGCGGATGGCTACACGGTGTGTGTGTGTGTGTGGGGGGGGGGGGGGGGGGGGTGCGGTGTGTGGATGATTCGTGAGGTGCCCAAGAGGAAGCCGGTCAAAGTTCAGTGCCGGGGCGAGGTCTCGGTACGGAGCGGTTCCTTTTTCGAAGGATCGCACCTGACGCTTCTCCAACTCATGAAAATCATCCTCCGGACGCCAGAACCTACCGTGTGCCGTCATTCAGCGGGAGGCTGATATCGCAAGTAAGACAATAACTGATTGGGCGAGCCCTTGTCGGGAGGTTGTGGTGAATGCCGTCTTTAAGGCTGCGGTCCCACGGCAGCCATCTTGAACAAGGCGTTAGTTCAACCAATAGATGGCGACACGTACCCGTGGGGTGGCCGAAACATTGGTTAACAGTGGGATGGCTCGAGCACCATCACGTTCCCCTCGTGGCCTTGCTCGCGCCGCTGCCAGCTGTGCTCAGCTAGCTCAAGTATAGCGTGGCCCATCAAATGGATGTATCCGAGAATAGACAGTTTTAGTATAGCGTTGCTGGCTCTTACGTACGCAATACGCAATAGTATAGCGTACGCTAAAAATGACCTGCTCGGACCGAATTTAGTTGTGCGTTACGTTTTAGAGTGAACGCTGCCCATGATCTTGGTTAGATTTGCTAGAGCTGCAGAATTCCGCGTGCTTATAGCGCAACCATGCTGGAAAGAAATATTGAAAATGAAAACGTGTCCAATCATTTTATTTCAAATTAAACCAAGCCGCAGCTGCCTCGTCAAGCGCGCTTTTCTGCGGGGTACAGAGGCTACGAGTAAAGGCCGGTTCAGACACTTGCGTTTGAGTGCGTTTGACTGCTTTGCGTCGAGAACCGAAAGCGAGTCACCGGCACATCTGTGCTTCGTGTGAAGCGTTCAATCCAATTCAAAAAATCATCTTAGCACGCGATATAAGTAGCAGGGATGTCCTGGTTTCTCGCTGCCGCAACGCAGTCAAAAGCAGTCAAACGAAACTGTCTGAACCAGGCTTAAGAGTGCGTAGCCAAATTCGATCACGGAGCCTCCATTAATCTTCCCTTTGAAACGGCACCTTTTATCAGTGCTATCGCGGAATGAAATTCATAAACTACTGATGTCCAGTACATAGCGAGAACTTCGGCGATTTCTTTTAGAGTCGCTCGTCCGTCGGCGATGAACTGTGCGAATAGGCTTAGCGTTGAGCAGATCGCAGCGTTGACGCACATTCCAAGCGGCGAACATTTTCACTGTGCACTCCTTCAGCTGCACGGCGATCTGATTCGACCGCCATAGGTCCCGGAAAGAATTGCCGAGCTGAACACCACGCAATTTCACGTAACACAGAACTTCGAAAACACCACGTCGCCTTTGCTGCGCCAGTCGAGGTAACCGCCATCTTGAAACTGGCGCTCTCGTTGGGCCCGAGATCCCTCGAGAACGTCCCGCAGAGCCCGCTAGCCCGCCACGCAAAATCCCCAGCGTTGCGTGCGTACGCAATACGCTAGCTCTTCTATTGCGTTCTGCGCACGCGCACTCCCGACCCGCAATTTTATTGCGTACGCAAGGCTTTAGCGTACGATCCACTAAAACTGTCTAATAGGGAGTTTTAGAATAGCGCACGCTAAAGCTTTGCGTGCGCAAAGAATAGCGTCGTCGCCACTGCGCATGCTCCGAACGCAAACCAGGTTTCGCGCTTTGCGTGCGCAATTTTAGCGTGCGCTATTTCTCGGAAATAGCGTGCGTTCGCAAAAAGTCTTTGCGCTTCTCCAAGGAGGATTCGTGATGAGAAGTTGGCTTAAGCCAAGACGAGCAGAGTTAAAAAAAAATGGCGGCTTCCAGGATGATGTCGGCGGCTGCTTTGGCGGCGTCGTGAGTGCGACGTCGGCGGCATTCTTGCGACTGCAATTTTCGATACGGGACGACAATGTACTCGGTTTGGCAGCGATCACCGGCAACTTGATGCTTGCGACGCGCGAACATTTCACGGCGAAGGAACGATGTGCGAAGGTCAGTACACGAGACCTCTCTTGCCGAGGCGACGTAAGCGGACACGACCGGTCAACCGCTCGCGTCGCGTTCTCATGTTTAAACAAATTAAAATGCTACTCTGGACCAAAAAACTCGTTTTTTTTTTCTAAAGTTACACTATTTCGTGTGTTAAATAAAAATTTTTACTGTATCTTGGTGGCGTCGCAAGCGCAAGCTTAGGAGGAATATGATGAAAACCATCAGAAGAAATAGGGAGGCGTTTTTTTGCAATGATGACGCTATGAATGAATGGCGTTTAGCGACGGCAAGTTATGAGCGTTCGGGAATTTATAAATTCACGTGATTGCTAACTATGGACATGCGTTTTCGTCGGGAGATGGTGTTGCGGTGATGACCTGATATCGGACGACTCGTGGCAGACGAACAAGCAAGTTTCGTCTCAGCGAATGGTACGTGTCCAGTGTCAAGCACAACACGTGGCTACCGACGTTGTCGACGTTTCGAACACTTACCGCTCTCGACAAAAGTCCTGGCACCTAGGCTAACTTTCTGGAAAGACTCGAAGTCTTCCTTGAGTCCAACGCCATCATGAACAGTAACTGAAAACGATCCACTATTCAATCGGTGGGTGGCGAAACGTATCCGCATCTGCAGAGTCATGGGCGATGCGTACTCTAAGTGGCTGGAAGTTTACACGATGCCTGCCACGACGTCCAAACATGTCATTGACGTTCTACGGTCTCTTTTACTTACTTTTGCCCTACCGAAAATACTTTTCTCTGATAACGCGCCAAATCTTTCTTCAAACAAAATAAACAAGTTTTTGAAGAAAAAAACCGGCATCAGGCATCACATTAGTGCACCATACCATCCTGCAACTAACGGGCATGCAGAACAGATGGTGTGCGAAACAAAAAAAGCCCTTTCGAAGCTTACGGAAGAAGCAGTTCAGTGAAAAATCGCCAGGTTGTTGTTCCAGCAGCACGCGACGGTCTCCTCTTACACGGTAAAAACACCCGCCGAAGAAATATTCGGTGGACGAAGAGCCACACCCCTCAATCTCATGATATTATGGCTTACAAACGATGATCGAGAGATTCCCAGATCGGGAGTAATTGCAGTTTATTCGGTCGGAAAACTCGTCTACGTAAGGAATTTCAGCGGAAGTCGGGCCTTCCATGTAAAACTTGAGTAGAAAAGGCTCTATGTTGGTTGACCAGAAGGTGTCATCTCTCATTATACGTTGGATATCAACGTCCTTGAGTGTAAATATAACTAAATCACAAAACTCTCTTTGTGTATTGTGTAACTGCCCTTGTATTTGATAGTAGAAGCCATGGTGGGTGATTTGGACCTTTCACACCAGGCTCCTTTTTATTATTTTTCGCCTCATACTCCATTGCGGTTTAAGCATGCTTCAAGAATCTTTTGTAACGGGGACACTTTACGTCAATGAGGCCATTTGTTCCAAGTAATCAATCAGGGAATGCTGCTAGAAATCCGTCCCTCTTATTAACGAATAGCCGCACTTCTGCACAGTGCAGTTTTCCTGTTCCACGTACAGTTGTAAAGTAGCATCCTCATTGATTCTACCATATTCAGTTGCGGGAGAAGAAAGTCTTTAGGTACACGATACTTGAAACAAGTATATATGGCACTGTACGTTGTGGTTCGACACTCACTAATGTTGTCGTCCTTATAGAGCCTCATCATTTAATCATTACCTCGTCACCTCATATTGCTCTTCATCAACAGCAAGTACAATAGGCTACGGCCATATTACAATCTAAGAATTAAAAAAATTGAGTCGTTGAGTCCTTCAACAAGTTTATTATTTATATAATGTTATTACGTTATATTACCTTGAGACGATCGACGTCCATCGTCGATCTGCAAATACTTAT